GGGTGCAGGTTCAATCCCTGGTTGGGGAGCTAAGATCCCACATGCCTCGGGGCCAAAAAACTAAAACATAAAACAGAAGCAACATTGTAAAAAATTCAATAAAAGACTTTAAAAAATGGTCCATATCCCAAAAATATCTTTTTAAAAAAATGGTGTAATATAATGGGATATGACAGGCACTTGACTCCTTCAACCTGCAGGCCATACCCAGTTAAGCCCCTCCATTTACACATTACCCATGGCTGCTTTCTCGCAACAGTGGTAAAGTTGAGTGGTTGCAACAAAGCCTAAATTATTTGCTATCTGGCTCTTTTATACATAATGTTTCCAGGCCCCTGGTACAAGTTGTATCAGAGTACTATGTCTGAGGCTGACTCTCCTGTACACACGATGTGTGCGAAAAGATATAGAGCACAAAGCCCTTGATATCCACCTTACCCACCCAGGGCTTTTCTGTTGGATCCAAAGGAAGGGCAAGTTTTCACTGGGCTCTCAGAGGTGAAATAACGACTGAGCCTATGGGGAGAGGCCACTGGAGACCATACACCTCGCTGCACCAAACCTCCTGCTTATATATCTAAGCCCTCCTTGTTCTAGACCTAGAGGAAGAATGGAATATTCCTGGAGTCTGTCTGTCGCCACTCTGAGTACCTGGGTCCAGGGGGGTAGGAAGCAGGCCCAAATGAGATGATGCTGTGAGAGGAAGAGCAGAGGTCTCAAAACTAAAAATCAGACTGCTCATTCCCAAATAATCCCCGAAGCAGGAGGAAAAGGAGTCGGGAATTCATGGAGACAGGTGTGGCTACACAGAACGTTGTTTACACATTCGGGTACCAGAGAGACCCGTGGAAATAATGGAAGGAAAATGCAGACTCTTATGAACAATGTTAGGAAGTCAATGCCAAGGATGAGAAGGGACGTGGGGAAAATGGGAGGGATGGTTGTACCTTAGTTCTGTTCTGAGCAAGGGAGTGAACCAGGAAGGAATAGTCCGCAGCGGAGAGCAGTCATCACTACATGTATCATGACGATATAAGAAGTAACCCATGATTATTTTGCTGGTCTTCTTGTTCAAAGTGATCGAAGACCATTTCAGTGAGGCCAACCTTGATGAGAGAGGTTCAACGCCCAAGATTAGGCAGAAGATGGTACCAAGGCACTTGCTGCTCTGAATCAGTGCCAGGATCCTGTCTCAGAGGAATGACCTACCAGGGTAGAGGGCAACTTGCAGCTGAGAAGGGCTTGGGTGACTCAGCAGCTGAAGAATTCCCCAAAAGCTGGAGCTCCCTGTGACGTCCTGGCATTGCCAACACCTCCCCCGCACTTCTGCTTGGTCCATTTCCCTGGGTGTCTGCATCTCCATCTCCATCGTCGTCCCTCTTCCAGGCCCTCCCTCCATGCAACTACATCTGTAGTGAGATGTTTTCTGTTTATTGGGAACCGGAAAGAAGTGCTGGGGCCTGAGTGGTTTCCTTGGAAAGACAGGGTTTAATACATGCATTGTGCAACCGGCCTGCTTGACACAATAAGAGGTTTCACTTCCTGAGATGGACCGGATGCTGCCAGGTTTTGGGTCTGGGCTACAGGATCAGGATGAGACATGGCAGAGCTGTAGAGAATACTACGTCAAAGGGCATTGCCCCATGGCTCCAAACGTTCCCTTGAGGAGAAAGAATGAGGGCTCATGCACCCTGGATACTGGTGCATGAAGAGGATGGAGAAGTAGATTCATTCCTGACCTCTATCTCGATTCCCAGAAACAGAATGGATTCACTCAGAAACGACATGGGTCCCTTGCATACCTGCTCTCCTGTCACTGGCTTCCATCCTCCTTCACTCAGCTTGTAATCACATCAGCGACTGAGTGCCTCTCTGTGTTCTCTGTCAGGAGAGCTCACAGAGCTACCAGACCACCGGGTCCCGTGGACCCCCAGCATAAAGAGTCTGAGGAAGGTGGTAGTTCCTTCAGTGAGACTTGAGGACCAGGGGTTCATTTCCAGGGTGGACGTTATGAAAGGAAAACAGAGTCATCCACCAGGCTCCCTAGGCAGGGCCTCCGGGGAGTCTGCACAAACCAAACACCCAATTTTATGAGGACTTAGGGACTATTGCTCCCCAAACTCCCAAGGAATGGATGCATTGAACAGGATGCAGCTCTTAGATTCTCTCTGAAACATATAACTTCCCAAAGATGGGATTCTTGTGTCTGCCTTCCTGATATCAAGATACTGAGAGCCCAATCAGAAGGCTGGTTGGTGAAGCCACTGCATCATTCTTGCCCACGGTAGAGTCTATTTCCCTCCTGCCTGTGAAAGTCAGGTACTCTCTCCCATGAACCATGTTGTGCAAGCCCAGGACTTGGCACAGAGTAAGCACATCCTTATTTGAGTAAAAACACTGTCAAATTCCTGCTCACTAATTCAGGCAGCAAAGCTTTACTGCCTGAACTTGCATGTCACACACTGTGCTAGGCCCAGCTCTAGAAGAGTTCACAGCCTCCTAAGGGAACCAGGTAAGTGAGCCAGGTTTCGATTCGGTGCTATAATAAGTGCTATAATATTGATGTGACAAAGGGGCTAGAGAAGGCACCGTTCCCAGACTCCATGCCCCATTTTTGACCCGGTCATTCATTCCTTCTTCTAGGGCTACCCTGGGGCAGTACCCTGGGCAGGCACTCTTCTGGTGTCTGAGTTAAACAAAGTCTGGTGCATTTCTGCACACTAACAGCAAAATACCCAGAGAGAAATAAAGAAAACAATGCCATTTACAATAACATCGAAATACAAATAAATTTAACCAAGAAGGTGAACTATCTGTACACTGAAAATTATAAGATATTGATGCAAAAAATCAAAGACACAAATAAATGGAAAGGTATCCCATGTTTGGGACTAGAGTAACTAATATTGTTAAACTGTCCATACCACCTAAAGCCGTCTGTAGATGCATTGCAATCCCTATCAAAATTCCAATGGCATATTTCACAGAAATATAACAAACAATCCAAAAATTTGTATGGAATCACCAAAGGCCTTGAAGAGACAAGGCAACCTTAAGAACAGCAGAGCTGGAGGCATCACACTTCCTGATTTCAGACTATATTACAGAGATATATATCTCTATATAGAGGTATACAATATGTATATAAAAGAATACTATTCAGCCATAAAAAAGAAGAAACTCCTGCTGTTCGTCACAACGTGGATGAACCTTGAGGGTGTTATGCTAAGTAAAATAAGTGAGAGAAATTCAAATGCTATATGATCTCACCTAGAAGTGGGATCTTAAAAAAAAAAAAGCAAAACTCACAGGAACAGAGAAAAGAATAGTGGTTGCCAAGGGCTAGGGGTTGGGAGAAATGGGGAGATGTTGGTCAAAGGGTACATACTTTCAGTTATCAGATGAATAAGTTCTGGGAATCTAATGTACAGTATGGTGATTATTATTAACTATATTGTATCACTGTATCATACGGCAGAAAGTTGCTAAAAGAGTAGATCTTAAATGTTCTCACCACCATATGTATATGTATGTATATGTATATATATGTGTGAGGTTATGGATGTGTTAACTAACCTCATTGTGGTAATCTTTTATATATATATATATATATATATATATATATATATATATACACCAAATCATCATGTTGTACACCTTAAACTTATACAACGTTATATGTGAATTACACTGCAATAAAACTAGAGGAAAAAACAAAGTCTAATAACTCTTGCACTTACCAAGGGATATAGCCTCAGCTGAATATTCTTTTTTTTTTTTTTTTTTCTGTGGTATGTGGGCCTCTCACTGTTGTGGCCTCTCCCGTTGCGGAGCACAGGCTCCAGACGCTCAGGCTCAGCGGCCATGGCTCACGGGCCCAGCCGCTCCGCGGCATGTGGGATCTTCCCGGACCGGGGCACGAACCCATGTCCCCTGCATCGGCAGGCGGACTCTCAACCACCGCGACACCAGGGAAGCCCTGAATATTCTTATTTGTAAAAATTTTCACTTTTCAGAGTTAACAGAAAAAAATTCTTTCAGGCAAAAAACATCTCTGCATCTTAAAGAGGGAATGTGATCACGAGGCCTGACTTATTCACGATCTTTTCAAATACGTTCTCAATCCAGGCTCGTTTCACCGTTCACCGAACATTGATGGAGATTCCGTATGCAATTGGCTAGGGTACCAGCACCTGGTCTGAATGGGTTGGATGAACTTGTCTCCAAGGTTTCCCCAGCCCCATCTGGAGCCTGAACCCCTGCACTACTGTGTTTTCTCTGCTTCATCCTAGCAAGATCAAGTGTCTCCCCAGAGGCTCCCAGTAATTACTCCCCAGTAATTGACCCCGAGCCCCCAAGGTAGAAAACAGCACGCTGGGTGCAGAACTGGCAGGGTTACTGTTACTTCATTAGGCCCATTTATCCATCTCCAAGTGGGAAGGTTCCTAAACTTATGTGCAAAGAGTGAGGGAGCATTTGTATGTGTGTCTCTCCACGTGTCTTCCACTTTACCCCAGAGATCCTAAATTAAAACGTCCTTCTAACCTAGGAAACCCCAGTATTTTTGATTGACATCATCTGCACAATAGTTGTCAGAAAAAACAACATATATTTGCATAATGACACATTTGCAAAAATATGTCACAGTTTGCTACCACTTGCCCTTCCAAGGATTAGAGAATTTTTTCAGTTTACCCTCTCCCAGAAGTTCCCATCCATCCTCTTTTTTTGTTTGTTTTTTTTTAACTTGGTTGTGAAATCAGTTAACCAAACCGGGAAATTTCTTAGCTCCTCACTTCTGCTTTTGAAGGCCATAAAATAGTGAGGGAGAAACTGGCAGACAGCATACCTCTTGGAGACACAACAGGCCACTCCGGGATTCTATTCTCTCCAGGCAGCCTTCATTGTCCAGGTACCACTTTAATTCTTCCTTATGACTAGGTCCTAAGGGAGTCTCTCTCTCTCTCTCTCTCTCTCTCTCTCTCTCTCTCTCTCTCTCCCCCACCCACTCTCTCCCTCTCTCCCTCCCTTCCCCTCTCCCTCCCTCCTTCTCTCCGGGCCTGAGGGCTGGGCTTTTTGCACAAATGCCAGATGTACTATAACGCCATAACTTGCAAAATATTGCGGATTAATACTGCTTATCTCGCAGCGGCTGTCTGAGAGCTCAGCATCAAACCTCTGCCCCAGGTCTCCTAATAAATCCACTCCTGGTTTAGGCCTGATTTAGCAAATGCTCTACTCTGGACCCAAAGGATGACTCTTTCACGCATTCACTTATGCGTTCAAAGACTGCTTCTTTGCATGCCTACCAGGTACTAGATGCTGAGGGCAATTCACGTGTGAAGGCAGCCCTCGTGGGGACTGGCGTGGCAAATGGTCACTCATTTTCTCCTCTCTACACAGGTTTCTGAAGCAGCCATGGCAACGGTACCTGAACCCACCAACGAAGTGATGGCTTACTATAGGTCAGTGGGAAAATTGATACCAGTAATGTGAACAGGGCTCCCCTCTCAAGAGTGGAGTGTGTCATCTGAGCTTGAAGACCAGATTTGCCCCACCAAACTGCCTCTTCCAGTGGCAAGCAGGGTTCCAAGGCAAACCTGGTTTAAAGACTAATTTCCCACTATAAGTCTGGCCTTGGGCCCCATAGGCCATCTAGATGTTGCTGCAGGGACAGCCTGCAGAGGGCAAACAGGAAGGAAAGGTGTCAAGTGGACAATACAGGGGATCCCTTGCAATATTTGGCTTAAATGAGACAGAAAGCTCAGATTTTAACTGGGCTGGAAGTTAGGTCTCAGCATCCAACAGAGAGCAACGTGGGTACCTGCCCTGCCTCATTTGCTTTTCCATTGCATATCACCACGGAACCTGGCAGCTTCAGGCAGCCCTAAGGAACATGCTGTTTGCAGTTTCCTATTAACGGTGAAGACTGTTTGCAGGGAAGGAAAAATAATCTTGTCCAGGAGACATAATTGAACAATCTCTCTGTTTTTATTACAGTGACGAGAATGACCTGTTATTTGAGGCTGACGGCCCCAAACAGATGAAGGTGAGTCCGTGGGCTTAGCTCCCAACACATGAAGGGGCTCTGACATGGGAAAGACTCAAGGAAAGGGGTCCACCTTGTTCCTATGGAGTTTTGTGTTCAAATGATTTTCTCCTCTTCCAGTGAGACAGACGCAGGCTGGCCACTACGCAGCTCCCACGTCACCACAGTGGTTCACTGAGGCTTGGTGATGGTGGCCATGCTTGCAGAGGGTGAGGGGGAATTACAGTGGAGATAGCGTTTGCTGTTTCATGTTAGGAAGACGGTCCAGGCTCCAACGCAAATTTGATTCTCCTTTTAGAAGAGGCTTTTAGCCCTCAGAGTGATGAAACTACGTTAATCACTTAAGTCACACTCTGAGACCCAGAGAAGATGATCTTGAGAATGAACGTGTCTGCATCCTTTAAGGGTGGAGTTGCTTTTTGCTCCCTGGGGTGGAGCTTATGATAACAGGGCATAGATGATGTACAGAAAAAGTTTAGTTGGGAGTGGCAAGAAAATTATTCACTTGCCAGTGGATCTTGGTCAAGTCATTTTACCCCTCTGATCTTCATCTGAAAAATAAGGCTCATGAGCTGGATGACGTCAGAGACCCTAGCATCCCGCAACCTTCAGTTCTGAAATATTGTCAGCAGGAGCTAAGTCTATCCCAGCAGAGGAGTATTTCTCTGACTCTTTTTTTTTTTTTTTTTTTTGCGGTACGCGGGCCCCTCACTGCTGTGCCCTCTCCCGTTGCGGAGCACAGGCTCCAGATGCGCAGGCTTAGCGGCCATGGCTCACGGGCCCAGCCGCTCCGCGGCATGTGGGATCTTCCCGGACCGGGGCATGAACCCGTGTCCCCTGCATCGGCAGGCGGACTCTCAACCACTGCTCCACCACGGAAGCCCTCTGACTCTTATCTTAACGGAGAGCCTTGCTGATGTTCCAGCTGGCTCTTCTCTTCTGTAAGAGGCCTGATAACTTTCCCAGGGTGTCCAGCCATCAGCCCAGCTAATGCACTTGTACAGATTAGCAGGCAGCTACTTCTCTCTTACTTTTTTAGTTCATGACAGCCTCCTCCAGCCTCCTCATCCAGTCTCAGTCTTGTTAAAAGCACATCTCTTTAAAGGTTTTAAAACCAGCGTAACTGGTTTTCTCTGGCCCTGGGTGGGGTGCGACCCGGCCCTCCTCCACTGTCTCTTCCAGGAGCCTGGCTCTCACTCATCTGGGGCCTCTGCTCTGGACAGGAACTTATCTCGCACTCAGCTTTCCTCTGCACTGTTATATGTCTCTTTAGCTGTCCTTCAAGCTTTTAAACCATTATCGTGCCTTGGGGGCAACCTCAGTTACGCCTTAATGCAGTTAGTTATACAGGTTCTCTGAATAAGGTGGAAATGGGAACCTATTTCAGGAATAGTAACCACTTTTAAAGTATTGGCAGGTTATTTATGAGAGAGCATTTGAGAGAAAAAAAAAACTTGTATAGAATAATTGTTGATTGGGCTTCCCTGGTGGCGCAGTGGTTGAGAGTCCGCCTGCCGATGCAGGGCACACGGGTTCGTGCCCCGGTCTGGGAAGATCCCACATGCCGCGGAGCGGCTGTGCCCGTGAGCCATGGCCGCTGAGCCTGCGCGTCCGGAGCCTGTGCTCCACAACAGGAGAGGCCACAGCAGTGAGAGGCCCGCGTACAGAAAAAAAAAAAAAGAATAATTGTTGATTGAGCATAGATGTATTGAAAATATTATGATCATCATTGCCATGAAAAATTAACTACATAGTGTTAGTGCATTAGATTTACAAAAATATCAAAAGTGTAAGAAGGTATAAATTTATAGTTAGGTGGAGCATGTGTAAAAGAGATAAGGTAGAAATGGTATTTATTCTAGAAGAATGCCATATAGGGCATCAGAAAGCCAACGTTTTAGTTTTGGGTCTGCCTCTCTCTTGCCACGTGCCCTTGGGTAAGCCACTTAACCTCTCTGGGCTGCAGAGAGATGAACGTTTATCCTTAGAAGCTCTGTTACCCCCTCCTTCGTCCTCTCTCATGTCAAAACCAGAGTTTTCTGGCACAAGCACCTTCCCACGCTGACTTCCTTATTCTCTCTACAGTGCTGCGTCCAGCACCTGGACCTCAGCTCCACAGGAGATGAGAGCATCCACCTGCAAATCTCCCACCAGCTCTACAACAAAAGCTTCAGGCATGTGGTGTCGGTCATCGTGGCTGTGGAGAAGCTGCAGAAGATCCCCTGCTCACAGACCTTCCAGGATGATGGCCTGAGGAGCATCTTTTCACTCATCTTTGAAGAAGGTACCTAACGAGAGCTGAGGGCAGACACGAGATTGCTGGTCATTTCCTTCTCAGAGGCCGTAACCCAACAGTCAACTAAACTTCCCTAAAGCTGAAACCCTTTAAAAGTAGAAGGCCCAGCAGTGAGAGGCAAACAGAGACACCTAGAAACCCAATTAATCGTCTCTTTAGTTGAAACCATTCTTTTTTTTTTTTTTGTCTTCCATCAGATCGATTTGTTCACTTAAAAGATTTTTTAAGGAATTCTTCTTTACTGAAAGGATGGTGTAACTGGGTAATAGTGCTATTAATCTTAAGAATGGAAGCTTTTCCAGAATATATTCATGGTCACGCATAAAATGGTACCCAAAATGTAACATCTCAAGACACGACTGTATAAAATCCAATTTGGTGATGGTTTTAGTCTCATTTTTAGTTGTTGAAACTATTCTTAAAATAGGACCTTGATAACTACTGATCTTTGCAAAGCACCCAATCATTCTGAGGGCTTTCACTTATGTATCTTCTGCGAGTGTCAGAATATCCCTGTTGGGCCAGTTCTATTGCCGCTGCCACTTTACATAAGTAGCTCTATGGCCCATCCACAGCCAGCAATAGAGCTGAGGCTTGAACCCAAATCTTAGGGTGCCAGGCCCAGTGTTCTGACGCACCCCAGCTTCCTGCCCACCAATGTTATAATCAAACTTTGACTGTGCGTGCTCAGATATCCTCGGAGGAACCCAATTCTGCTGCTTCACAGCACCAGGCCTGCCCCTCTGAGTTTCCACCTAAACGACGTCTGTGCTCCACATTTTAGAGCCTGTCATCTTTGAAACATACGACAATGATCTTCTGTGTGACGCGGCTGTGCAGTCGCTGACCTGCAAACTCCAGGACAGAGACCAAAAATCCCTGGTGCTGGCTAGCCCGTGTGTGCTGAAGGCTCTCCACCTCCTCGCACGGGATATGAACCGAGAAGGTACCTGGGGACACCCTGCTTCTTTTCTTGGCCTCCTGGGAGCTTGCTAATTCTCTACACTTTCAACAGAGTAGATGATTAAGGCAAATGATCGACAGCAGTGAAATAACATACAATAAAGGATATGTTTTTGTTTGGGTCCTAGCGTTGACACCAGATCGAGTCCCTTAGCGCATTTATTTTTCAGCAAGAGAGGTGACTCTGAGAAATTAGGGGGCTCAAGCACGCTCAGGACCACTGTTCACTCAAGTCATGTAATGGTAGCGCCACGTCAGTGCTTCTTTTAGAAAGGAGTCATTTGATGGACAAGACCTAACCGCCCGTGGGTTCTTTCTTCCTGTTGTTGCAGTTGAAACTAGAATGGTGAGGAGATAATCTGTTCCCCCGCCTCATGCCCAGCCCCGCCCCCTCGCCCCTAACATCTTTCCGGCCATCTTACCAGATGGTTCCTTAGAGGGAAACCTTACTGACAAGCAGGAGCTCATATCTCTCGACTGTCACTGGCAATTGTCTCGAGACTGGGGTCCCACGGGTTGTGGGAATCTGCCCAGCACTTTGCTACCGTGGCTGCGGTCCAGGGGGCAGCTGAAAGAAGCAGGCAGTTCTCTTCCGAGGCTGCTGACCTTGGAGAGAGGCATCACTGTGGGAAAGCTTCCTGGTGTGAGCCAAGACAAGACAGCCCTGTTTCTTTAGAATTGCACTGTGAGGGTGACCTTGGGGCCTCCAAGTCAGACAGCTATGACTAAGGGAGATTAAAATGCATGTCTCGGGCTTCCCTGGTGGCGCAGTGGTTGAGAGTCCACCTGCCGCTGCAGGGGACACGGGTTCGTGCCCCAGTCCAGGAAGATCCCACATGCCGCGGAGCGGCTGGGCCCGTGAGCCATGGCCGCTGAGCCTGCGCGTCCGGAGCCTGTGCTCAGCAGCGGGAGAGGCCGCAACAGTGAGAGGCCCGTGTACCGCAAAAAAAAAATGCATGTCTCTCTTTGCAGCCACTTTTCCCAGCTAAGCTCCTTTCCCAAGTTCTTCCCACTTCCTTCTCTACATTCCTGAAACAGATCCGTGCCCGATGTTTTTCCGGGACCCAGCTTTCTCTCTTTTCTCGCTTTTCACGTTGATCAAATTATTGTGCTCTTGTGGATGGACACATCACCCGTCAGGGACAAGATGACTTTCTGCAGTTTCTAAAAATCAGACCCCCTGATTCTTCATTGCCGCTGTGGTGAGGCTCTGAGAAGCCCCTAGACCTTCTTTGGGGAAAAACCTGTTTCAACCAACTGAACCTGCTATGATCTGTGAGAAGCCCTATTACCCTGTCTGTTAAGCCATAGGGACCTCGGTGTGGGTTTCCGCAGAGGATGCTAAATTGTAAGAGTCCCTGCAGTGCTGTGTGTCCCTAACCATGAGACTCCTTTCCTCTCCCCAGTGGTTTTCTGCATGAGCTTCGTGCAAGGAGATGAAAGTAACGACAAGATACCTGTGGCCTTAGGCCTCAAGGAAAAGAATCTATACCTGTCTTGTGTGATGAAAGGCGATAGGCCCATCCTGCAGCTGGAGGTGAGTGGGTACCAGGGGCTGAAGGCCCTTCTCAGGCTCCTCTGAAGGACGCCTAGCCATCACTTTCTTCCAAGACAACTACCTCTTCCCCTTAGAAACTCTGGGAGCAGAGTTACTTGATAATTTTGCATAGATGTAAATAAGTTTAATGTAAGTGTTAAATGCATGCAACTTTCACTCCCACCACAGAAAATTAAATCATTATGTAGATGTTCTTGTGTCTTGCCATTGTGACCACCCAATAGATTATACATTGCTAGGGTTGCTCCACTTGTTAGATGACGTTTTGGGAACTTAATCTGCTCAGGGGACCTGTCACCTGTCATCATTTCCAACCCTCTCCCAAAATCACACCTCCCCTCACCCGCTTTCCCAGCAAAAGCTTCATTTCCAAGCTGAAGTCATTCTAGCCACAGGGCCATGAGGAAAATACAGCAAAGTCCCTGCAAACAGATACGCCTAGGAGCTTTAATCTAATTTTCACTTTTGAAAAACATTCCCACCTAGCATTTGATGCTAAGTTTCAGAAGAGGATAAGGGACACCTTCAGTCACCACATAGAAACCTGGGGTCTCAAAGATAACTCAGGAGTCTGGCTCCTGGGCCTGTGACCTTCGTATCCATTTTCTCTCTAGCCGACCCAGAGAATATCTTTGTCCAGATCAGAGTAGAGCGTCTGTGTCCCTGCCCTCATGAAAATGTTTATTTCTGTTTTGCTGCAGGAGGTAGACCCCAAAACTTACCCAAAGTGGAAGATGGAAAAGCGATTTGTCTTCAACAAGACAGAAATCAAGAATAGCGTCGAATTTGAATCTGCCCTGTACCCCAACTGGTACATCAGCACCTCTCAAGCAGAAGAAAAGCCCATCTTCCTAGGACGTTCCAAAGGCGGCCATGATATAACTGACTTCACCATGGAAATCATCTCTCCCTAAAGGAAGCTGTACCCAGAGTCCATATGGGCTGAATGACCCTGAGGGCTAGCAGAAGGGGAATCGAAGAGCATGGCTGCAGCCTGAACTTCACTGTTGTCTAATCAATGCCCAACTTCCCTCCGTATATTCGTGCTACGAGACCTCCTGCCCACCAGCCGGCGGGAATAACCCCACTCTTCCCACGCTTCTTCTGCCCGTCCTCAGACCCCATCCACTGAGCCAGCCCTCTCTCACCTCTTCCACTCACTCAAAGCCAGCCTGGCAGAAACCATGGCACACTAGGTTCAGAGAAATCCTCTGTCCTTTGCACACAGCTTCTGATGAGTGACCATTTAACTATTTATTTATTTATTTATTGATGGGTTAATCTATTTAATTTAATTCAAGGGGGCCAAGAAACAGCAGAGTCTGTGAAAAATCCTAGTCTTCTATATCTATGGAACCAATTTCATTTGGGCTAGTGTGCCGTCTTTATATCAAGTTCTTTCATTAAGCCTGAAAATATTTAAGCTCAGATCATTTCAAAAGGAATATTTATGAATGAGGAAGGATGATCAGATTGTTCAATGATTTTGAAATAAAGTTCACTGAAAACAAATGTTTTGCCACGTGGTCATTGACTTGTCTTGGATCTGACATAGAAGAGTCAAGGTAAATGGGGCCATGAGCATCCTCCTTGGGGACTCAGAAGCTCATTCCTCATCACTGAATGCGAGATACTTAGGAACATCACTGGCCAGAAAAGACCAGCCTTGATACCTCTCCCTTTCGTTTCTATTGTTCATCAAAAGTATATCTGGTGGGCTTCCCTGGTGGCGCAGTGGTTGAGAGTCCGCCTGCCGATGCAGGGGACACGGGTTCGTGCCCCGGTCCGGGAGGATCCCACATGCCGTGGAGCGGCTGGGCCCGTGAGCCATGGCCGCTGAGCCTGCGCGTCCGGAGCCTGTGCTCCGCAACAGGAGAGGCCACGACGGTGAGAGGCCCGCGTACCGCAAAAAAATAAATAAATAAATAAAATAAAATACTCAAAGGTAATAAAGTACTTAAGGTAATAAAATTTTTTTTTAAAAAAAGTATATCTGGTGCGCAAGCTTCCTCTGATAAACAGGATCAACTAAAACATTATCGGGAGTAAGCGTTGGTGCTAACAGCTGCCAGGTATTTCCCTATTCGTTTATCCAACAAACATGTATTAAGCAAATGCTATGTATCAGGGGCTGGGAGTACAGAAACCGGAAAGGTAAGGCGTTCCTAGTCAGATAGCAGAGGCAGACATATACAAGCAAACCAAAAAAAGGCAGCGTAACAAGTAGACAAGACAAACTATGAAAGGAGCAGCTAAGAGGGGTGACAAGATCTGCTCTGGGGGACGGAGGGCCAAGTAGGGTGACATTTCAATCAGGCCTAAAAGGATGAGCAGGAGTTTTCCACACAAAGGAAAGGAAGCGGTACTCTAGGTAGAGGGACCAGTATGAACACAGGCATGGAGGGTGTAGAAGGAACGAGGCCAGGAGTAAATTCTCAGGATTGCAGAAGTCACCCGAAGCCAAGTCAAAACACAAAAACAAGCCAGGGGAAAAAAAAGTTGTGTTCTCAGACAAAGAGATAATGTGCTTACTATATAAAGAGTTCCCTCAAAACATTAGAGAAAAACAAGCACAAAAACCCACCAGAACAGCAGGCAGACATTTAACAAAACCGTGTATTAACAGGCTGTCCACAGAAGAAGGAAATACTATCTCATCTTGGACAGAGTAAAATATGTTTGATATTACTTATAATAAGAAAGTTGAATTACCAGCATCTTGAGATACCAATGTTCTCCTATCACATTAGCAAAAATCAGAAGTTTAACATCAGACCCTGTTGGGAAACCTCTACTTTTTTTTGCGGTACGCGGGCCTCTCACTGTTGTGGCCTCTCCCACTGCGGAGCAACAGGCTCCGGACGCACAGGCTCAGCGGTCATGGCTCACGGGCCCGGCCGCTCCGCGGCATGTGGGATCTTCCCGGACCGGGGCACGAACCCGTGTCCCCTGCATCGGCAGGCAGACTCTCAACCACTGCGCCACCAAGGAAGCCCTCTTTTCTTTTTTTTTTAAACATCTTTATTGGAGTAGAATTGCTTTACAATGGTGTGTTAGTTTCTACTGTAGAACAAAGTGAATCAGCCATACATATACTTATATCCCCATATCCCCTCCCTCTTGCGTCTCCCTCCCACCCTCCCTAACCCACCCCTCTAGGTGGTCACAGAGCACCGAGCTGATCTCCCTGTGCTATGAGGCTGCTTCCCACTACCTATCTATTTTACATTTGGTAGTGTACGTATGTCCATGCCACTCTCTCACTTCATCCCAGCTTACCCTGCCCCCTTCCTGTGTCCTCAAGTCCGTTCTCTATGTCTGCATCTTTATTTCTGTCCTGCCCCTACGTTCTTCAGAACCATTTTTTTTAGATTCCATATATATGTGTTAGCATACGGTATTTGTTTCTCTCTTTCTGCCTTACTTCACTCTGTATGACAGACTCTAGGTCCATCCACCTCACTACAAATAACTCAATTTCGTTTCTTTTTATGGCTGAGTAATATTCCACTGTATATATGTGCCACATCTTCTTTATCCATTCATGTGTCGATGGACACTTAGGTTGCTTCTGTGTCCTGGCTATTGTAAATAGAGCTGCAATGAACACTGTGGTACATGACTCTTTTTGAATTATGGAAACGCCCACTCTTGAACATTACAGGCAGGAGTGTAAATGGATACAACTCCTATAGAGGAAATTTTGATAATAACTATGAAAATTACAAATGTGTATCCCCTACGGCCCAGCAGTTTCACTTCTGGGGATTTATCCTACAAGTGGACATACACCCATGTGAAACAATGACACATGATCAAAATTATTCATTGTGTATCACTTGTAATAGCAAAAGATGGGGAAAAACCCAAATGTCTATCAACGGGAGACTAGCTAAATGAATTATGGGACACCCATACAGTGGAATCCTCTCCAAGGTATTGTGATAACTCAAAAAGAACAGGAGGGGGCTTCCCTGGTGGCGCAGTGGTTGAGAGTCTGCCTGCCGATGCAGGGAACGCGGGTTCGTGCCCCGGTCCGGGAAGATCCCACATGCCTCGGAGCGGCTGGGCCCGTGAGCCACGGCTGTTAAGCCTGCGCGTCCGGAGCCTGTGGTCCACAACGGGAGAGGCCACAACAGTGAGAGGCCCGCATACCGCAAAAAAAAAAAAAAAATTACGTAAGGATGCCATTTGAAAGACGTCCATGGGACTTAGTTGTGACATCAACTCACAGCTAAAAAGCCTGGTCCGAAGGCTTCCCTCTGACTCAGCAACCTGCATCCAACACTAAGGGTTGACTGAGTGTGTCACCCTGTGGTTTGCGTCAAGAGTTATCCAAGAGGCCACTAACCCTGTCTCAGATTCTCAAGCCAGTAGCCCAAGTCAAGTTGCTAAATCTTTGACGCAGGAAACTCAGGGTCAGAATCTTTGATCTAGGAGCCTACTGAGATAGTTCATCTGTGGTCTGTGCCCCTGGGTTAAGTGGCTTGACAACACCACGTAAGTATTTAAAGGAAAAAAAAAAAAAAAAGCATAGAGCTGATGATGTAAATGAAACCCATAGGTTTAACGTTTTTTGTGTTTAGCTTAGAAATAAGTTTTGAGAGTCTCCTGGTGATCTGTCTTTGTTATTTAATGGGCCTGAAACAATGAAAGAAACTGAAACATTAAAGAATTTGTCATATTAACTTTGTAATTCCAATTTGAAATGTGCAATTGATATTAGACTTCTGCTTTTCATTTGAAGGACAGAAAATTTGATTGCGTTTGCATTTTCAGAGCCTGAGTTACTACATTTTTTATTTGCTTTCTCTGGAGTTACAGGCATGACTTAGGTGCTTAGAAATATTTTGCTCCTTAGATTTTTTTAATCCACCCTGGCAGGTTTTTGAAATGTTTGGAAAAAAAAATTACATACTTAATGTGCAGATATATTAAATTTGTAGTTTAAAATATTTAAGAAAAACGCAATTAACTATGCTAGAAAAGAGAGGTAAATATTTAGTGAGATTTAATATATTATGCTGTTGACTTTAAAAAAAATGCACAACATGAGAGTTGCGAGTTAAGTTTTATTTGGAGCAAAATGAGGACTGCAGCCCGGGAGACAGCATTTCAGACAGCTCTGAGAAGCTGCTCCAAAGAGGCAGGGGGGAGCTAGGATATATAGGAGGTTTTGCACCAAACGACAGGTAGTCTGGAACATCAAATTATTACTGTTAACTAAAGAAATCAGATATGTCAAGTTAAGGAATTTAGCACTTTTCTATATATGAGAGGATGCAAGAGTCTGGGCTCACTGAAATCATTCCTTCGATATGCACCTCATCTATCGGGGGCCAGTATCATGTATTTTCACATCCTGTGTTTCCTCAGGGCTCACCGTGGGGAATGACTGCAGTCTGATGGCTGCTAGATGGCAAATGTTCTTTCCTTCCTGAGCTCCCTCAGGGCTCACCAGCTCACCATCCGTGGTGGCTGCAATCGCTGATGACTGTGACATCCCTTGTTTACTGATATGGCAGACAATATTCCATTTATCAAAGCAATGAAATAACTGAGCACTAATTTTTTAAAGTGAAAGTGTTTTTTCTCATTGTTGTACCAAAAACTAGCTTTATAAAGAGAGTGGCAAGATTTGTCATTTGAACTTATTAAGAAAAATCTTGGTTTTTAAATATATAACTGTAATAGCTTACTACACAAATTTAGGCTCAAGTAACTATAAATGCTTTTCTATGCACACAAACAACTCTTGAACCTCAAAAAATTTAACTGACATCACAGGAAGTCAGCCTGCAGAGAGTAGCCAGTCCCCAAGTAGTCTTCAGGAAGCTGTGCAGTGCTCTCCTTTCCAACACTTTAACAGTCCTGGAATGCTGCATCCTCATTGGTCCCTTTGAATCTCTGATGATGGACAACTCTGCTGCCCAGTCTCAGGACTGAGTCCCAGTAGAGGAAACATACACACACACACACACACACACACACACACACACACACACACAAACATACATTTTGGCAACAAAAAAATCAGTTTTCAAATAATTCCGATTTTTGGCTAATTTCCACGAACCTCATGAAAAGTGCCCAGAGCACAAACACCATTTCTCTTTTTTAACTCTTTCTTTTTTATTTTGATAAAGTGTAAATAACATACAATTTACCATTTGAACCATTTTTAAGTGTACAGTTCAGTGGCATTAAGTACATTTACACTGTCGTGCAACCGTCACCACCATCCCTCTCCAGAATGTTTTCATCATCCCAAAGAGAAACTCTGTCCCTGTTTAACATGAACTTGATGCCCAAAACTCGGCCTCTGCCAAGCACCATGTCTTAGAATGTCCCTTATCTCTTCCATCCATTTCCTTCACAGTTGCCTCCACACTTTCTCTTCCAAGCTCCCTGTTAAATCCCTACCCCATGTCCTAGACCCCTTGCTCTTTACCGATTGGCATTACTAAAGCCTAAACAACTGGACTTACTAAGGTAGAACTGGCCCCTTTGAG